TCTGTCTGTCTGTCTGTCTGTCTGTCTGTCTGTCTGTCTGTCTGTCTGTCTGTCTGTCTGTCTGTCTGTCTGTCTGTCTGTCTGTCTGTCTGTCTGTCTGTCTGTCTGTCTGTCTGTCTGTCTGTCTGTCTGTCTGTCTGTCTGTCTGTCTGTCTGTCTGTCTGTCTGTCTGTCTGTCTGTCTGTCTGTCTGTCTGTCTGTCTGTCTGTCTGTCTGTCTGTCTGTCTGTCTGTCTGTCTGTCTGTCTGTCTGTCTGTCTGTCTGTCTGTCTGTCTGTCTGTCTGTCTGTCTGTCTGTCAAAATACATTCCTTTAATAAGTATTTATATATATATATATATATATATATATATATATATATATATATATATATATATATATATATATATATATATATATATATATACATATACATATATACTGAATATAAATACTTATTAAAAAGTGTATTTTTAAATTAATAAACATTTAATTTAAAAAAATATATTAGTTTGACAAATGTATTACACACTGTAGGGAATACGTTATTGATGTCTGTTCAATTTATACAAGAGAATAATGGAATACGTGCAATTATTAGTAAAGGCTAATTTTGTATGAATTAGTAAACATGCGTATAACATAGATGACGATGAATCTACTTACAACGTACACAAATCTACTTACAACGAGTATCGATTTAGTCATAATGACCATTGCTTTAATTAAACAAAGCTTAATTTACAAGGGGACGTTGTTATCAGTTGACACTGTGACAGGGTAGATAACAACCGCGCAGTTATTTGACAGGTGTGACATTTATAACTTTTCTTTAATGGTATGTTAAAGATATAAGTGTGAGGTGGACTAAAGTTCTCCTTTCTATACATTTTGTTTTCAAAAGAATACAAACAGCGTTGTTTGTGTTTGAATTAAAACGGCAAGTATTATGTTAGTGATTTTATTTCAAGGTTATGCCAGCTATTAATAAATAATAAAAGAGATAAAGAAAATAATATCATTATAATATATTATTTTATCTAAACATTTGTTGTGCATTTTCCTTATCTTCCGTAACAAATGTTAGACGGATTTTACTTCAAAACTTAAGTTTGAAACTTAAAAAATAAGTCAAATGAGCGATGATTTTGATTAAACGCTGTTGCCATTAAACGAAGCGAACGGTATTCGTTTAACTGAGTATTTATTAATTAAAACTTTACTTTATTTGATTGTAAAAGTATAAGCTGAATATATAATGAGATTTTATCTTAAACTGCGTTACTTCTTACCTTTAAGCTAGAAAAAATCGATAAGGAATAAGTTCGCTTTTTTTCTCCTCACGTAAGAAGAGTTTCATTGACATATTTTAAAATGTGTTTTTCATATAACACTCGAGTGCAGTGGCGTAGCGAGGTCGGGTGTCACCCGGTGCGGCACTTAATGGTGTCACCCCCCCCCCCCCCCCCATGCGTAGCAATCCTTCCCGGGGACAAACTTTCAAGTTTTCGATTTGCACCGACAAATTGACTCTCAACATATTGGCTCCCGACAAATAGGCTCAGGACATACTGGCTCTCGACAAAGTGGCTCCCGACTTATTGGCTCCCGACATAAGGGCCCGAAACAAATGGGCTCCCGACAAAGGGGCTCATGACATATTGGCTACCGACAAATGGGCTCCCGACACATTGGCTTCCGACAAATGTGCTCCCGACATATTGGCTACCGACAAAATGACTACCGACATATTGGCTTTAGACAAATGAATAGCATTACCACTAATGGCATAAAAGTAACCATTTTGTCCTACCTCCACTACTACTATAACCTCTTTTTAATGCCTGAATGAAATTGTTTTTCATGAACTTACATCAATTCACAAACAAATCAAGCCATTAACAGCAAAAATCTAAGAATTCTAAAATGTTGATAATGTTTAATTTACAACAGTAAAGATCTGTTGCATAAAAGCGAGCACAGAAGTGAAAATGTACGATATACATGATGGTTACAGGATAACTACATTTTGTTTTGATAACCTACAAGCATACTGCTGGTAGGAAGGTACAGCGTTGACCCTTCTCCCCACACACTTTGTTGGAACAGCCTATAACTGACTCAATTATGGAAGTCATAGATAGAGGACCCTTGAAATAAAACATACTATATTTTATAATAGATAAACTAATATAAAAATAAGGCCTGCCGAACAAGAGATCCATACGTTGTATTACTTAAGAGTGTTGGATAAGCTAACTCTAAAGAATATTGATAAAGGGGTCCCACTGGCAGGTGTCATATTCAATGTGACCGCTTTGCCGGGAGATTTAATCTCTATAGAAACGGTGTTGTCAGTGGTCATTTTGTCTGGAGCCAAATTGACAGGAGCCTTTTTGCCGTGAGCCAAAATGACGCTAGCCTGTTTGTCGGGAGTCGTAATGACGGGGGCCGTTTTGTGGAGAAACTAAATGGCGGGAGCCTATTTGTCGGGAGTCGTAAGGACGGGGCGCCGTTTTGTGGAAAAAACTAAATGACGGGAGCCCATATGTCGGGAGACAAAATGATATGAGCCTATTTATCAGGAGCCTTATTGAACGGAGCCCTTTTGTCGGGAGCCTATATAACAGGAGCTTATTGGTCGGGAGCCTAAATGACGGGAGCCAATAATCGGTAGCCTTTATGAAGGGGCCATATGTCGCTAGCCATTTTGACGGGGTCAATTTGACGGGGCTCTTATGTCGGGGCCGATTTGTCGGGGTCGTATTGACGGGGCCGTTTTGTCATTGGCCGTTTTGATGCCGCACGCTTGAAAACAATATGTGTTTACACACTCATATATATATATATATATATATATATATATATATATATATATATATATATATATATATATATATATATATATATATATATATATTATATATCTTGTGTCTTTCAAATCAGACTTTTATAACTCAATATTAAATATTTGTAAAATGTGTTAAAGCTTTGTTCTCCTTACAGTTTAAACATCGAGCTCTTTGTACTTAACTGTATACTAAAGGTAGTTGAAATGGCATTCAATATTTTTATAATGGTACTAACGAATATTATACAAATGTGTCTATAAATCTCTTCAAAAGCGAAAAACAGAGTCTATACATATATATATATATATATATATATATATATATATATATATATATATATATATATATATATATATATATATATATAAAGATATATAATCTTTTCTTTTAAAATCCTCACCATACGGACCATAAACCGGTTAATACAATTGCATCGTTTTACGTTATCCTATTGAATACATTATAACGACTGCATTTGATACAAAGCGTAATACACATATGTCACCACCGTGCGGTGAAAACTTTAACCCATTTACCTTCTTGCGATTGATTTACCGTCAGCCATATTGTCTGACTCAGCAACCAGGAAGGGCTTTAGTTTACTGGAAGCCATGTTTTGTTATCAATAATTTGGTTTTAAGGTAAGGGTTTTAATTATAAAATATAATTGATGATCATTAACTTTGAATTTTAATACAAAATTACTTCCATTTAAAATTCCAATTAGATGGATTTGATAAATTGTCAAGAAATGCACTGATAATTGTCATTGGAACAATATTAAATACTGTTAGGTACGTTTTATAAGCTTAAACAATGCGAAATGAACATATCTTTCACTTTGACGAATTTACCAATCCCAACACCCCTTTCATCGTCTGCTTGCTTGTCAATCAACGGCCGGTATTTTAGTCTTGTTACATCAGAGGCGTATTTTACCCGGGACAAACTTTCAATTTGGCGCCCTCTTATATATATATTTTTAAATTTTTGTAATGAAAAACTGCAGCTTTTATTTTTTTTTCAACCCATTTTGCGCCCCATAGGGTCGGCGCCCGGGATTATATGTACCCTCCGCCTCCCGCCCCTCTCGCTACGCCTCTGTGTTACTTCGTTTTGTTTAGTCTTGAACGGATACATCGGACTTTACATCGGAATTTAAACAACACATGTTTTAATGTGTAAGCCCTTTGCCCCGTATAGATTTTACTAGCACTTGACCCTAACTACACGGAAGCGCCATCGCTGTTGAATTAACATTTGCAACGGCGGAAAGGGTTGTAGGTTATGTTCATGAGGCTATAAACTTGTTTAAGGTACAATCTAAGTAGTCATAGACATTATATGTATGTGAGACGAGCGGCTAACAAACAGAACTGGTTTAATGATGGTTGTTCTGTGAAAAACGCTCGATTAATAACATATTTAATAATATGTAATAGTCATTAATTAATTATCTGTTATTATATGTTTTGCTTCTTTAGAAAAAAAAAACTATCTAAACATTTCAACAATAATCAGCACATATTTTATTTGTCAATTGGCTCTTCGACACAGAAAATGATGTGTTTTACTGTTAACATTCTTTTCTTTTTTTTTTCTCAAATTTGCATTTTTACTCAGAATTCAAAATTCAATATCCAAAGCTTAGAACCTTTGTCATTTATTAAACGTGCAACATTCCACATACATTAAGCATTATATTATAAGTACATATTTTTGTTTATGTTTATGTTATACATTTCATTAAAAAAACATTCTAGCTATCGTTTTGAATATGAAAAGGAAATAAATCTAAAATAAGATTTTATATATCTTTTATGACAGCAAAGCTACAAAGGTTTAAAAATGTGTACATTTTCAATTGTCGTGTATTGCCTTTAAATGGGCTTTAAAAATCAATCTAATTACAATACCATACGAATAGTATGTAAACAATCTGATTAGTCAACCTAAAGTTTAGTTAGTATGGCATTCTTTACAGCCGGTAACTTAATAAAGACTATAAAATGAGTGAGTGCATGAGTACTTTTTTGTATTTCCTTTCATTGGTTTTACATAATCTTTCCTTGTTTTTATTTTTCAGATACAACCAAGACAAAAAGCGTTCCTCATTAATAAAGATTTTTTTTTAACGTTAAGTGTAACATTTTGTTAAAAAAAAAATAGAATGTATCGAAACCCGCATCGCAATTTTCGCAGAGGAAATACTATACAAACTGTAGATTTAAATAAGTTTGACAAATTTGGCAGGACTGTGCTGATGACCGCTGTAGAATCCAATAACGCTGCGGCGGTACAAAGTTTAATTCAGCAAGGAGCTAATGTTCATGTGTCGGTCTTTTCGAGGGAACCCCCATGCACAGCCCTAACATTGGCAGTAAGGAAAGGTTTAAGTGACATTGTCAGAATCCTCATCCAATCAGGTGCTAGATTTTCTTGCGACGGCGGCTGGGACGCTGTCGTTATGGCCCATTCCCATGGGTTTCTTGACGTTGTTATTGAAGGTGACACAAAATCTAAAACTATCGCTTCGATATTTGATGTAGGTTTTGTTCGTTACGTTTCACCTCTCGTTTTGTCTCTGAGAAATTCAAATTTCGATGTCTTCAAAGATCTACTTGCAAGGGGTTTCCAGGTTTGTCTTCGTGATTTTAAGGATTCCGATTTTACAAATACTGATTTTATTGTGCATCTTATCCAATGTCTTCATGATAATATTAATATAACAAACGATTCAGAAGAGACGTTGTTGATAATAGCCGTAAGGTTAAAACACGATGACATCTTGAAATGTTTACTGGGCACAAAGATTGATATTAATGCCTCAGATAAAGAAAAAAACACGGCTTTACATATTGCTTCCAAAGACCAACCAGAAATTGCTAAACTGCTACTAAAATGTGGAGCGGACCCAAGGGCTTTGAACAAAAAGGAAAAATCGTGTTTCTCTATTGCACTGGATACAAACTTGGATGAAAAATACCTGCAAAACTTCATCAAGGCGGGAGCATTCGTCGATGAAGTGGACACGAACAGATGTTCAATACTTTCAAGACATGTTGAAGCTTGCAACGTTTCGATCGTTACATTCCTTTTGAAATCGAAAGCAAATGTCAACTGTATTGATAATAAAGGCGAGAGTCCTTTGATGAAGGCGATATTGTCAAATAATCCTTCAATAGCTAGTCTTTTAATCAGCAACGGCGCTGATGTTAATGCCTGTTGTGGGACAAGCAATAAAACTGTTTTAAGACTTGCTGTGGAGATGAATAGTGTTGAAATAGTAAACAATTTGTTGCGAAATGGTTGTAAAATGAAAACATGCGATAAACAAACATTGGAATCAGAACAGGATTATTATAATAGTTATTATGAAGATAATTTACCTCTTCTTATGATTGCAATCGATCATGGTAATGCGGCACTAATTAAGTTACTTCTAGAAGCGGGAGCCGATGTCAACTACAGTGACGACGGTTTAGCGCCAGCTTTGTTAAGAGCGGTATCTATCGAACATATTGAATCATTATGCAATGTGAAATACAAACCAGATAGAAAAAAACGAACACATGTATCCCCTATGTATGTACTCACCTATGTTGATGATGAAAAGTGTGAATGTAATAGTGAAAACACAAAGAAAATATTGGCGGAAATAATTGATGTATTGTTACTGAAAGGTGCTAACGTTGACTCAGTAGATTTCTATGAAAGCACAGCACTTCATATTGCTGTAGAAAAGGAAAACAAAGACGCAGTTTCTGTACTACTGCGCCATTCTGCCGGGGTTAACGTGAGAAACAGTCAAGGTAGAACAGCGTTAATGTTAGCTGCTGAGCTTAAATTAGAAATAATTGTATCGATGTTACTTGAGGCAAAGTCCTCTCTCACAGTCTCTGACATATGGGGAAACACAGCCTTGATGATTGCCGTGGAGTCTGGTGCAGAGAATATTGTTGAAATGTTATTGAATGCTGGGGCCGATGTTTGGGCACTAGATGAAGACGAAAACAACTTGTTGCATAAGGCAGCGAGGTATCCTAACACAACTATCTTCGAAATGATAATTAAATACAGTTTAGTATTTCAAAAGGAAAACGAAAATAAAAATGGTGCATGTTTTTGTAAAAAAATTCCGACTTTAAATCCTCAAAATCCTTTGAGTTCTGATAAAATCGACGCCGTATTGAAACCTAATCTTGTTCATATGAAAAATGGAATAGATGAAACTCCATTGATTATAGCTTCGAAATATAATCAAATCGCCAACATACAATCATTATTAAAACTGGGGTCAGATATAAATGAAACAGATTTTAATGGCGATACAGCTTTATTTATAGCATTACAATATGCTTCAGAAAATGCAGTTGAGGTTTTACTGCAACATAACGCGGATTTAACTAAAATAAATAACAAAGGAATGTCTGTTGTACACCTTGCAGCTGCACACAGCAGTGCATCGAACTTTGAGCGTATTCTTATGTCTGGTCTGGATATAAATATGCAATTAACATCCGGCGAGACGCCTTTATTTTATTGCAATAAGAAAGAAAATTCTAAATTACTCATTGATAAAGGTGCACATCTTAATCATATAAACTGTAACGGCATGACAGCTCTTCATTTTGCAGTCATAAATAACAATGAAGAAGTTGTTCAGATATTAATAGATCATGGGATTGATCTAGATGTAATTTCTCACAGCAGAGAAACAGCGTTATATATTGCTGTAACTAATCAAGATTTGGAAATTGCAAAACTTTTAGTAAATTCGGGTGCAAGCGTAAATATAAAATGTAAAGATGGAAATACTGCATTGTTGTATGCAGCTAAATTTCCGGTTTCAAGAAGAAATCCACCTAAATCAATGAGTTGCACACAATACAAGAAAGAATTATTTAATTTGCTCTTATCGAATGGGGCCAGTATAAACGCACAAAACGACGACGGAGAAACGGCACTAATGCTTTCATTGGAACCAAAATTAAAGATATTGTTTTACGAATTGATAAAACGCAGTCCAAATCTTGATTTAATGGACTGTAAAAGTCGATCTGTTTTGGTACGCGTGCTAGAGTTGAATAAAAATTATAAGAACGAATATATAAACATATTATTAAAAAAAGGGATCAACCCGATAATTGAAGAATCACACAGACAACTTGTATTGAACGCTTGCAACCCTTTGAAGAAATCAAAATCAAAATTGTATAGCATGAAAAGTTTAATACAAAATCTAAATAGTGAGTTAATAAGATTTTTTTTCTGCAATGGTGTTGTACCTGTATCATCATTGCAAAACCAAAATGATGTTTCTTTTATTAGTCTCGCAATCAACGTAAGAAACTACGATTGCATTAAATATTTCTTTGCTATTGGGTTTATAAATAATGCCGATCTTGTCTTTATCAACACCTTATACCCAAGACCAACATCAACTTGTAGTTCAATCCTTTACATTGACGACGAGATACATTCACTTTTAGAACTGGCATCCCAACAGCCGTGGCCGCTAGTTAAGCTAGCATTCATTGCCGTGTCTACGTTATTGGGGTATGGACGAGAGAGGGAAGTCAAACTACAGGAAACTAAACTTCCACCAGCATTAAAGCGGATGTTAATGTTCCAAGTAAAAGCATCAACATTACCGGTTGCCGAGTGGGGCAATATAGCTCTATGTTTTGATCCAGATCAGTATGAAAAACTACCTAATCCACGGCCTTTGATCTATTATTGGCCCATTGGTCAAAAACCTGGTTAATCATTTTATTTGCTTACATGACTTATTAATATACTGTAAAATCAGAATATTTCTTTCTGTAGACTTGAGCTGAGTACTTAATATGTTTTATTTTAGATTTAGCAGTTTTTTCTAAATTATTGTTTGCACTGAAATCAGGATATTACTTAATCGGTAGCTTTGAATTGAATACTTAATTATGTTTTATTTTATATGTATCTGGTTGTGATCAATTAAATTTTGAAATATTACCAGAATATTACTATTTATATATCATTGAATAGTATAACACATTTTTATTTGAGATTTAGAAGCCTTTGCTTAATTACTTTTTGAACTTTAATTTAATTTTTTTTTTTGCATCATTGAAGGATATTTTTGGATCAATATTTTTAAACGTATTTTGAAAAAAAACACAACATAATTAACATTCATTTACAATTTCTAATTTCTTGTACACGCTTCCTGAAAAAAAATGTGATTACTTTTACATTATTCTAAATCAACGAGAAAAATGGCCCGTTGAGGAAGGATACAACGGGCGCTAGGCTGATAGTGCTGTCTCTTTTCTCTAAACTAAAACCAACTCACCCCCCCCCCAACACCCCCACCCCCACCCCCCCACCCACCACCCACACACCACCCCCACCCCCCCACCCCCCCCCCACACACACACCGCCCCTCCACCCCCAACACACCTGATAGTGCTGTCTCTTTTCTCTAAACTAAAACCAACCCACCCCCCCCCCCCACACACACACCCCCGCCCCCGAAAATTTCAAGTACCCCACCCCTCTCCGTGGAGGAAAAAGTCTAAACTAAAACCACCCCACCCCACCCCACACACAAACCACCCCCCCCACCCCACACACACCCCACCCCCCACACACACACCACCCCCCCCCACACACACACCATACCCCTCCCCCCACCCCCCCTCCCCCAAAAAAATTTCTACCGTCCCATTCAACGAAATATAATTATATACTTTTTCCAGTGTCCGCTCCCCTCCCCGAAAATTCTACCCCCGCCACCGAAAATTTCAAGTACCCCCCACCCCTCTCCGGGGAGGAAAAAGTCTAAATTAAAACCATCCCATCCCCCAGCCCCCCCCCCCCCCACACACACCCCACCCCCCCCCCCACCCCCCCCTAAAAAAACATGTCTACCGTCCCATTCAACGAAATATAATTATATACTTTTTCCAGTGTCCGCCCCCTCCCCGAATATTCTACCCCCGCCCCCGAAAATTTCAAGTACCCCCCACCCCTCTCCGGGGAGGAAAAAGTCTGAAAGAAACACTGGTGTCGCGCTTAGCCACTACCCGAAGAATTGCATTAAAGAAATTGCAAGAAAACCACTTTTTAGATTAGACACATTAATTAGGCGGTAATTTTATTATAGAGTATCGATGAAGAAATTTCTTTTGAGTTGGGGAGGGGGGCTCAGACGTTCTTACGCGGAGAGGGGTGGGGCTTTGCCCCTACCCGAAGAATTGTATGCACGAAAATCTTCACGCAAACCATTTAGATTAGACAAAATTTCCTTTGTATTCAATGTTTACTCGATAATCAATGACGTCATATTACTGTGTGCACTCTCCGGCTTGAGATGCTAAATGTGGCGACGTCATACTTCGTTTTTCGAATTACTGTGCATGTTTTTATTTTGCTTGTGTTTTCTCTAGAGCGTTCTTGTCAGATAGATAGATACACAGACAGCGAAACTATTAGTATTAATAATTCCTTCATATACTTTGAGTTGAACTTTTATGAAATGTAAAATTATGTTGATATGTTTTAACTGTATGACAAATTAAAAGGACACGAAAAACAACTTAGAGTGATAAAGCTAAACGGGGTTTTCATTTAAGCAGATAGGATTAGTTGATATTGATTTGCGTTTGTTTCGATGTATACAAATTATAAATTAAATTTTATTTATCAGAATAACAATTAACATTTTAAAACACAGATATGGATATTTTAGAAAATTTTAAAGCGTATTAAATTTATACATCAACGAATTGTAAACAAAAAATGTATTGTGTCCATCTTTTATTAATGGAAGCCACATGTTTTTGTTTTCTACAGTATAATTGTCATTACATTTGTATTCTTATTATTGTTAAAAGTTATACTTTTAAAAATGACTTCATTTTTTTTAAAATCATCACACAACTTCTTATGCTTCGTTACCAAAAATAACATATATGCATTTTTACTTTCTCGTATATACGAAGTATAGAGAAAGTCTTGTAATCGTGCAAAAAAAAAGAGATTTTTACAAATCTCGACGTTTTACATCTCACTGATACGGAAAAAAATAATTTTGCAATCTTGTCCGTATGTCTGTGTGTCTGTCTGTGTGTCTGTGTGTGTGTTTGTAAACACGATAACTTGAGTACCGCTACAGCTAGGTTGATGAAATTTCATATATAAGTATTTTATCAAAATCGTAGATCCGTATCAACTTTTGAGTGATTTCTGATAACCGGAAATGGTACTTTTCCTACTTTGAAATTTTCAAAAGCCTATAACTTGAGTACTATTTCAGATAGATAAACGAAATTTCACATGTAAGTAAAAGATCTAATGCTCTACCTTCTGTTAGATTTTGAGTCATTTCCGTTGACCGGAAGTAGTAATTTACGCTACTTCCGATTTCTCAAAAAACTAAAGTAAATTTTAAAATACTAATAATATTGCGCACTATTATGCACTTTTGTATTTAGCGTTCACTTGGTGTGCAATTCTTTTGTCTACGAGATTTTATTCTATTTTTAAAACTTTAAGTATTTAAAATGGACCGAGTTCCCATCCCCTGTTATTTTATATAAAAATATTCGAGAAAATTTAGGGGAGATCACTACCGGTTTATTATATAAACATTCAATGTATTTCAATAGTGTGTATACGATCGCGTTATTAAATAAAGGTGCATTTTTTAAAATTCTAGTTGATTTTAAATAAAATATATACAACTAACAAGCCTTTCTGTTGAACAATGTATTATAATAACAAAAAATACATTTAAGGGGGCAGTATCACCCAGACATTTGAAAATTGACGAAAAAATTTGCCAAAAAAAAAAAACTAGTATACATACACACATACATTTTTTGCCATAATAGTAATTATCAAGGAGCTATAAAACAGCACATAAAAGAAAGTTAACGTATGATGCAAACATTTTTTATAAATAATTTAACAAAAAAAAAATTTACTAAGTAATTTTTAGCTGCGGTTTTCCAACATTTAGGCCCTTCCTGCTGAAAATATACTGAGAGTTGAATAACAGGACAACCTATCGCTTGAACTAGGAGATATCCATTGAGAAATTTTTAGAATTTTTCAGTCAGACCAAAAAAATTGATCTTAGAAATTTAATTTTTTTTTTGTTTTTTAAATCTGTGTTTTATTTATTTATTTACATACAAATAATTATTTTTTAAAACCATTTTACAATTTTGTTTTAAATAGGGCCAGGTTTATTATCTTTGTAGTGATTAAATTAAAACATGGTGATTTTTATATTAAAACAAATGTTCAAAACAAGTTGGTTGTGTTGTTTGAATTATGTTTGATTTAGCTTGTCCTGATTCAACCAATAACATTTAAATATAAAATGCATAAGATTATTGCAACTGATAATACATAATGTATAAACCAATACCTATTTTCATAAGAACTGAATGACCATTCAGCTGCTATAATGTAAGGCACTTTTTAGTAAAGAAAATCTCCCTTAAGAAACCAATTGAACATAATAAAGTGAAATCAATAAGGATGCACTCATTAAATAATACACAATGTCTTCAAATGAATTAACATTAGCATTTGTTAATGAAATCACATTCAGCAGTGTTTCCATTCTTACAGATTACAAATATCTTAGCTGCCATTTAATTTGTTGTATAAGTACCAAACATATTTTAATGCAACTTTGCAATATTCAAAGATTGATTGTATTCTGTTATTGCTTGCAATCAAAGTGACAGGAGTTTGCATGTGAACTTCAAGCAGGAAGGAAACAAAATTTAATGTCTGCTAGTTTGGAAAAAAACTAACCTTGAGTACAAATCTCATCAAACTTTCTCAAAACCTCAACACTTTTACAGCTGTAGTCTAAATGGTAATAATTCGATGCATATATGTAAATTATTACATTGAAAAAATTCAGCCATAAATGAAGCGCTACACACCGATCTAACACTACAACCTGTTGTAGAACTACAACCATGTGTACAACTATAACCCAGTGAAGAACTATAACCCTGCATAGAACTACAACTGATTTATCACTACAACCCAGTGTAGCACAACAACCCGGAGTAACATCAAAAACCAGGGTAAAACTATAACCCTGTGCAGCACGATCATACAAAGGTACATTTAATGTTTATAGTCACTATAAGTAATAGTAAATTTATATCAGTATCATAACCTGAAGTTTAGTTAATTTTTTTAAACATGTCATATCGTGAACACTTACAAAATGTGTCTATGTTATGTACAACGAATGGAGCTGTCATATCGAATTTTTAACATAAACTTAAATAAAATATTATAAAGACAGTCCAAATGATCCTTTTAGAATACGTGCTTTTAACCAACGACTGCAAATCTATGCTGGTATTCAGTGGAACATATCGATCATGCGTGTCTATTGCACACTGTTGAAACTTAAAAGCGTACCGTGGTTGCTATCTGGGAAGGTCGTGTTTCAAATTGCAGGTGTGCATAATTCACGGCTTTTATTATAGAAGGAAGTAGAAGCCAGGCTGGAAATTCCAAACATTTTTGCGCATGCATCAGATGTCGTATTCGGTTTTTAATTTAAGTTCAACCTGACTATATAGATGGTCACAGGCCAATGTCAGTATGTCAGCAATTGATTTTTTGAGTACAGAGATTATTTTTTTATACGCTCTACTGCACGACGTACATACCATTTATTATAAGTTAGAGTAACTGTCACTGTCAGCCTTCGCGCTCGTTGCTGAGCTCTCAGAAGGAAGGCTGAAGAGAGGCGGGGGCGTAGGGTGCAGACCGCAATGGTCGACACCATTTACAGGGGTTACACCAACACACACGAAAAAGTTAAAATATATTTGGAAAAAAATTCTTTTCTCTAGTTCAATTGAAAATTAATAGGAGCAACAAAAAATATTTTGAGTAGAAATTGATGATCCAGACAAGGTAGGGAAGGGGTAGGTATGACACCATGACGTATACATGCTAACTATATACTCACTATAGAGAAAACGCAGCTATATCAATAACCGACTCTGTATAAACATTATTTATATTATTTTTGCTCAATATTTTTTGCACATTTTTAAGCTATCACCCTAACAGCGGCGTGAGGGGGGTGGGAGTATACCAACTGCATCATTTGAGGAGGAAATAAAAATTAAGTTGAATATGGAATAAGTCAGTCACCTACCGTGGTGGGGTGACACCTGACCTAGCGACGCCACTGGACTGGCGCACTATGTTTAAAGAATGTCATCATTGCGTTACCAATGGCATATTTATTTTTTATGCATGACAAAGTTTTCTAAAACTATTTTTTTTTATTTTTATTTTTTTTACCCACACTACCTTCCAGACGCTCTTGGATGTGATGTATAAACGCATTGATTGTTCGTTATTCGACCTCCCTAATACCAATAAGCCTAACAATATCGCAATTTATCAAACCAATGAAAATTCTATAATTTTCTAAAACAAAATAAAATGAATGAATGTGTAGGCCTATATTTTATCTGTTGTAATTTTAATTGTTGTGAGTTATATATCATGATAAAAACCAATAAAAAATTACACCCTTTTAGTTAGTTTTTAATTTGGACAAATACGTTATAATTAGCATGCATTGATTATGTGCATTGATATAGGTAAACACACAGTTTTGTTTTAAAATAATAACTTTTATTTATTGTATACATTAGATGAACCGTTTACTAAATATTATCTTTAATCAATAACAGTTTAGAAGCCGTTACTAAATGCCCCATACGTTTACGTTGTGTTTTGTGATTATGTATGCATTAGCATTGTCTATGTTTACGTTTACGCTTTTGGTTTTGTTTTCGTTACTATTTTTTACTTTCTCGTATATACGAAGTATAGAGAAAGTATTGTAATCGTGCACAAAAATAACATCAAAGTTTTCGCCGTTTTACTCCTCAGTCCTTCATCACATCCGGAGTATAAAGGACTTATTTTAATCAGGCAAAAATTATAAATACAAATATATAAACATTATGGCATTTTATGAGTTATCGAGTCGTAAAAACTGGACTCTGCAATTCTGTCCGTATGTCTGTGTGTGTGTGAGTGTCTGTGAGTAAACACGATAACTTAAGTACCGTTACAGCTAGGTTGATGAAATTTCATATATAAGTATTTTATCATAATCATATCATAATCAACTTTTGAGCGATTTCCGATCACCGGAAGTGGTACTTTTTCTACTTTGAATTTTTAAAAAGCCTTTAACTTGAGTACTATTTCAGATAGATAAATGAAATTTTACATGTATGTAAAAGATCTAATTCTCTACCTTCTGTCAAATTTCTCAAAAAACGAATGTAAATTTATAAAGTACTAATAATATTCCGCACTATTATGCACGTTTTATTTGGCGTGCCCAGGTGCACAATTCTTTTTTCTACGACATTTTATTCTATTTTAAAAAGTTTAAGAATTTAAAATGGATTAAAATTCATGTCTATATCCCGAGTTCCCATCCCCTGTTTTTTTATAAAGAATATTCGAGAAAGTTTAGGGGAGATCGTTTATTTTGTTTATGTTTGATTTTATGTTTTTATCATTTGATTCTTTTTGTCGTTTGTGTTTCCTTTTTCATTATTGTTTGCGTTTATGTTTGCATTTAGCTTTATGTTTATGTTCGCGATTACATTTGCTTTTGTCAATTGTTTTGTTATTGTTTTCAATCGGGGTTGTGTTTACGTTTGTCCTTATGTATTTATATATATTCTATTATGTTGATATTTGAGCTGATGATTATGTTTGCCTTCGTGTGTGCGTTAACCCTTTATTTACGGAATTAAGTTCTGAATGAAGTTTTGTCTTTAACAATGTGTTATTATATTGCTTTCGGGATACTTAAAATGTACGTCGAAGAAAATATAATGTTTTGTTAATTTTTATTGTCTCAAATATGTATTGGTACTGATAAGAACCGTCAGGAATGTAAAACATTCTTTTCCAAAAAATAAAAAAAAATTACAAAACAGTAAGGAACTGTAACAGGTTTTAGCTAAGTCCATGGCAATCATTATAGTAATTATTTTTATAATTGTCATACAAAAACACACACAAAAGTATATTTTCTTTATGGTTTTCGACATGGTATTCAATGGGAACACGTCTTAGATCTTCATTTTACTGTACAGAACACAGAAAAAGGTCCCGACATGTTCTACTCCCTTATTCCTTAATGACACTCTTGTCTGTGGTCTTAATGGTGTGGTAAAGTCGTTGGACTGAACTGTCTTTTGCTGGAAGCTCCCAAAACAAAAATACAATGAGCCTCATGAAAATATTTTGAAAACAAAAGCCTAGCCATTCAGTACACTACTGCTAGTCATACTAGTATGATTGTAGCCTACTAGAATGTTATGACTGGCCTACACTGTAGTGTAAAATTCATAAATATAAATGAGCTCCATGTGCTTATAATAGGCTTAGTGGCTTACTGTTTTATATCTCCTGATTATAATTTACCATAAAGATCTATAATATATGTAGAAGTATGAAATATTACTAGTCTACATGTATACATTACGTACATACTAATCATTCCAACATACGAGGTATAAACATCGAAACTTAAAGAAACAGAAAGCCCCCTTTTCTTCTTTTAGATAAAGATTTTAAGTTTTAAATTTTCTTTGCGCTTTTCAAATATTGTCTTTATATTCTGTATACGAGATAGTAAAAATATAAATGAATAAAATTCACTCATGTAAGATAAACATATCAAATTCATATACCCCAACAATGTTATTACTTTTGGTTCAGCCTCAAAACTAATTTAAAATACAATGTGTTGCAAAACCTGAAATCACGTTCATATGTTTATTAACAGTTAAATGATTAATTTTAAAATATATCTTTTAAAACAACAAACTGGTAAGAGAATGCAGTTCACACTCAAACAACCAGCATATAATGATATAATGATAACCTTTTTTTAAAAGTTGAATTAGCAAGCATATTGCAAGTGGACTTCTCAAAAAATCTAATTGATATATTAAATCAATCATGGGGACACTATTTCTTTTCATCATCTTTAGGGCATGTTTCACCTTCTTTTTTCAATGAAATTGATTGCGCTTTGTCATTTGAAGATTCACACTTTTTGAAATCGGCAATCCCTTTATAAATACCGTGATTGATGTTTAGTAATATTAAGACATTGAATATGTTGCGATCTCCTTGATAGATGACAATGCAAATATTTTTTGCCGAATTACAGCTTTTTATTATTTTACCGCATTTCACGATAGATTCTAAAATTGGTTTTCCTTTGAGTGCTGTTAATGCGCGTGGTAATAAAAGCTCGGCTACTGTCTTGCTTATACTCAACATATCTTCACCCTTGTGGATTTTAAAAACTAATGAGCAGCTTCCTGTTGCTAGTTTTAACACACCAGCAACTGGTGCAGCAGGAGGGTAAAATATAGCAATTGTAGTAGCAACCGTAGAAGCTTTACCTAAGTAATCCACAGCTGTTTCTAAAACAAACCCTAATATTTCTAAATTTAGAAATGCCATTGATTTTTTCACGTATTTTAACAAGCAAGTAGACACTGATTTCTATTCAATTTTAAGCAAAACATAAAAAAAAATATAATATAATCCAAAAATGACAATCGCAGGAAATTAAATTATCAAAATGTGTGAATGTATACCGTATTCAAATTAAATTTTAAACTTTTCGCAGTTTAGATTTTCGTTTGTGTGGAGATAAAGCTGTTGTAGAATCTGAAATAATCGAAAGATAATCATTAGTCAAACTATTGGCGCAATTAACTTATATTCTTTAAGTCTTTTTTAAACAGTTGAGCAATCATAAAATTTAAATATAGTTCAGATAAAAATAAAGTTTTTAATGGAATTAGAAAAGTGATATTATTTTAATACAAAAACGCACAAACAAAAACATTAATATTAATTGTATAACATAAGTGTTCTGAGTATAGAGTAGTGTGAGTTAATATTTGTATCTCTCTTCTGATTTGCCGTTTTTTTTCTAAAGCTTGCTGCTTGCTGCTCAATGTACACATACTATTAAAAATAACACTTAATTGTTTTAAATTTACTGTTCTAGTTATAAACTGTTTTAATTATCGATATTTTTAACAAATAGGACACGGTAGAGCAATAACTATGTAATAAAAACAATGGTCGAAAATATACAAAGATTTATAAACCCTAATTTAGTAACATGAAGCTATAAAATAGAAATACCTGACATAAACTATAAAAGAAGAAAGTAGAAACAGTATTTATGACGGGATGAAGACTCGCTGAGAACAAAGATGTATGTAAACTCAAGGTCATCCGCTTAAGTTACTTTTTTACGAAGACTGATCTCATAAAGTTTAAGGTTAATCTACGTAGAAAATAAAAAAAAAAACTTTAAAGTAAATTAAATATATGTTAGTTATTATACCTGCGTATTAGTTATTTTTTAAAAATATATTATGTATAATGCAATATCCAAGTAGAAAGCATGTTTTACTTAGGGGTCATCCATTTATGACGTCTTCAATTTCAATGACCCTAATGGTAGTGTGCTAGACTGCTAACTCGAAAGTCAAGTGTTCGAATCCGGATTCAATACAGTGTAATATAAACGAATCTTTCCAGCTCTGATGGGTACCTAAATCACGTCAGAGATCGCTGGTCATCGTGCTTATCACCTTATCCCTTCATATGCCGAGGTCACAAAAACAGGTGAGCTCTAGCTCACTTGCCCCATAAACCGTCACGTTTTAAAGGGTAGTTTATTTACGTATTTCATGTAGTTCAATGCTCCCTGTAATATCAATATAAATATAAATAGAGATATATAGGCCACGTCGTTCCATATATATTTGAATAACCGTGATATAAAATAGGAATAATATATATATATATATATATATACATATATATATATATATATATATATATATATATATATATATATATATATATATATATATATACATATATATATGTATGTATGTATATATATATATGTATATATATATATATATATATATATATGTATATATATATATATATATATATATATATATATATATATATATATATATATATATATATATATATATATATATATATATATATATATATATATATATATATATATATATATATATATATATATATATACTAGCCGTCCCGGCCAGGCCCTACTCTGGATTCTGTGAAAAACCTTTCTATTAAAGACCATTACCTGTGTGTTTATTAATCATCATAAACCCGGCATTGCCCACCCAAACCACAACCAACCAAAACCTAAACAACAAAACGCAAACATAACGCTAACACAATTACAAATACAAACGAAAACAAAAACCTAACAACAAACCCAACCACAACCACAAACACCGATACGAACACAAAGAAAAAAAAACGAAAAAGCAAATGAAAACAAACCAAATCCAAACGCAAAACTAACCACAAACACAAACCCAAAGAAAAAAACAAATAAAAAAGCAAACGTAAACAAACCAAATCTAAACGCAAAACCAACCACAAACACAAATACAAACCCAAAGAAAAAAACACAAACGAAAACGAAAAAAAAGAACAAAAACGAACCAAATCAAAACGCAACCACTAACGCAAACCCAACCTAAACACAAAGAAAACACTAACGCGAACATAAACGCAAAGTGCTCACAGTCTAGCCCGGGGCTAGATAAACGACTTTAGTACCCCAACTTATTCATAGTCCTTTGCACTTACTTAAACGATCAGGCGCCAAACCGAACACGGGAGGCCCGGGGCCCCAAATAGCACCCTGTCTGGGCTCCAGAGGACGCCCGGATTCGATTCACTTAAAGACTATAGTAACCTTTCTTATCCATACTCTATTGCACTGTTTAAAGCGAAATTATGCACCATAGCGCTCACAGGATAGCCCAGAGCGCCAAATTGAACCCTGGTGGGGCGCCGGCGGACGCGCCTGTTTCAATCTAATGAACAATAATAATACTCCAAGCTTAACCGTAAAATACCTACAACATTTGCACTTGATCAATTCCCGCTAATTATGTAATTATTTTTTTCCCAACACCAAAAAAAGTAATAAAAAGTAAATTCTTTTCCACTAATGCAATGTTTTATAAAGGGAAGTAATTGTGTTTTCCTAATTTATCAAAGGGGAGTAAGTGCTAAAGGACTAAATATAAATAATTTTCAGACATAATTAGAATTTTTGTAAAAGATGATAATTTTTTAAAATTGTGTTTAATGAACAATTATTACTATCAGTTTGAAAATGAAAATTATTTCCCAACACTTTCAATAGTAATTTTTTAACTCATAAATTTAGACTATGAGCACGATAATAATCTAACACTTAAATCCATCGAATTATGACAACGACAAACTTATTACATTTTACATACAGAATTGAGCTTTATATATTAGATATATATATATATAAATAAATAAATAAATAACTAAATATATATATATATATATATATATATATATATATATATATATATATATATATATATATATATATATACACTAGCGTACCCGTCCCCTCGCGCTGCCGCGGGAATTGAAGAAAGTCCGACGAAATATTTAAGGCCTTCATCAGTGCGTTACCAATCATATATTCTTAGACTCGTGACCTTGTTTTTTAAAAAGTGAGTTATTTAAATGTACACAATGCATTGATATCGGGACTCGGGTGGTTTTCCTACACTACCGCATGATAACCTTGAGTGTACGTTAATCACTCACCAAAATAATGAGTAGAACACTCTCCGTTTACCGCCCATGTGCCAGGGACGTAGAGGGGCGCTGTCAGGAGCCCCCCTTCCCCGATTACACTATCGCTTGGGCGCCGCGTACGGCCCCTGGCTCCTTAAACCTAACAGGCACCATCGTGCTCATAGGATAACCCAGAGTGCCAAATAGCACCCTGTTAACAATGATGCAGATTGCCTCATTCGAAAAGTGACACAAATGAACAGGATTTTTTCTTTAACACGTAAAGTAATTATTTGACGTTTTTTCAAACATCTGTGTGACTGAAGCAATAGGTAAGCGTTACTAGTGGTCTATTATTAGATCCTCGATCTCAATTTCTGATTGGATTGTCTAAAAATAGATGATGATTGCATTATTCGCAAAGTGAAGAACATTTTTTTACGGACAAAAAGAAACATCACAGTTAATAATCTAACCCTGCATAATTTTTCTGATTATTAAAATAAAACATATTACATGGCTCCCTACCATGATTGAATTAAGTGGGCGCTTGTAACGCCCCACCTTATCAATTGTCTATCACACTGTTTACACCGAACGTAGTAGCCATAGCGCTCATCGGAAAGACCAGGGCGCCAAATAGCATCCTGCCGGGGGCCGCCCATGCAAAATTAAATCGCGCCCCTACCCCCTCCCCCCTCTCACCCCAGAATCCTTCTCGGGATTATTCATCAACTCCCTATAGTTTTATGGCACTCGGATAAATGTATCGAACCGCAATCGTCTTTTATTTTTATATACCTTATATAGAGAAAAAATTGCACCCGATATTTAAAAGGTTTTTTTTTTCAGAACTCTTCCCCAGAGTGTTGTTATCAACTCCCCAAAGTCTCATGGCTATCGGATGAACGGTGTCAAACCAAAATCGACTTTTATTTTTCTATACCGTACATTAAGAAAAATTGCACCCTCCCGTGGGGCCGCCCTTGCAAAATTTAAAAATGTTTTTAGCGCAGAAGCCTCCCCAGAAATATTCCCAAAGATTAATGGCGATTTTGTGAACGGTGTCACCGCAATTCACTTTTATTATTTTTATATACCGTGGTGTCCCAAGAGTCCCGTGACGCCTCTAACACCAAGGCCGTCGCCGAAGGGTGTTTATTTCACCATCAGCATAAACCAGGGCGTGCTGAGGTAGTGTGTACAAGCTAGCGCCCCAACAACAAGATATGATAGTGGTTTTGGAAAAAAAGAAAACAGATCTATTACAGTAGTGATCTTCTACAGTAGCTAACACACGCTAAGTTGTAGTGTGAAAGAAAGGCAAACGTTCAAACCATATATATATATATATATATATATATATATATATATATATATATATATATATATATATATATATATATATATAATTATATATATATATATATATACATATATATTATGGCACAACATTTTTGTTTGCAGAATGGCCCTTTTTTTTTTAGTTCCGCCACTGATGTTTTTGTCTCTTTGTTGTCGTAACAAGGAAGCGCAAATACGTAAGCTAGCATAATAAAAGACACCATAGAAGCGCACTTCCTTTGTTCGGATTTTCTTAGAAAAGTTAGAAAACGTTCTTTTGCGATGCCTCAGTGGTCTCGCGTGTTAGGCTTGTAGCTGTGCAACTGGTGTGTTGGAATGTCAAAATGTGTGTAAGGCTGGTGTAAGGAGAGGCTTTCGGGGTGGTTTTGATCATACGTGTATATATATATGTTGGCTGGTACCAAATTGTTGATTCTTAAGTAAGCATGTTGGCTGGTACTATATTGTTTATTTTTAAGTAAAATGGTAACTTGGGTGCTTATTAAAGGGGTTTAGGTGACTAGGACTAGTTACAGAAACCCAAGGGGTTAATCTAAGATATTGGGGATGAGCAGGCCGGGGATATCTAAAATTTAATTAAATGTTATTGGCTCACTCTGGTCGTTAAGGGCTGCGAGTTCTATGCAGGTGCATGAGTGACACGTAATGCTGGGAAGACACCCGAGGTGATTTATGTCTAAAGTAGAGTCCGGGCATGCCGCTGGACGTCACGGTTGGATCATGACTCATGATCTGCAGGTGGACGTCAGAAACGATTCCGATGACCTTAGGGACTTATTATCGCCTGGGCCGGATAGTTAGACGCGAGCAGCGTAGAGACCTGTGGTGGTCAGTTGTTAGGTGTGAAACGCGGCGGGAGTGCCGTGTGGCCGTACGTTAGCTCGAGCGGGGTATGACACGATCGTTAGCCCTGAGACAACGGGATGATCTATAGCGGTCAATTATCGGGTGTGCAACGCATGGGTGCATAGTGACCGGTGTTATCTCGAACGTCGAGAGATGGTACGGATCCCAACTCGGGTTCTATAGCTCTAGGGAGATGATAAGGGGGACAAGACTAGCCTATAAATGAGGAAGGGCGGCTATGTTGAGGGCTCTCTCTCTCTCTCACAGACACATAGGCTAGACACCATGGTCTAGGCCTCGGATGGTGGCAGCCTTATGGCTGGCCACTAAGGCTGGATTATTGGCCCAGTCGATGTTTTGTTGCTGTACATATGTGCTTCGTTCCAGATATTTACATGTGTGACCTGATGTTTATACATGTGGCCGATGTTTGTACCAGTGGCCAGATGTTTTATTCCAGTGGCTGGAAATCTTCCTGCCGTGTAGATATGTTCTTCGTCCAGTGGCCATTATCTTTGTGGCCCAATGTTTGTACCAGTGGCCCAATGTTATATTCCAGTGGCTGGAAATCTCCCTGCCGCTTGAGTGTCGAGCTAGATTGTTGTGAGTACTGATGAGTATTCATAGATGAACTTTAACCGTGTTTGATTAGTGGAATCAGAATTAGTGATGATAACATTTACCCGTGTGATTCTGGGATTACATAACAGTGCAAGTAGTAAAGTTAGAACTAGAGACGATGCCTTTTACGTTTTTGATTTTGAGATTACATAGCAGTACAAGTGAAATTAGGACTAGAAAGAATAACTTTGACAAGTGTGATTCTGAGATTACATAAGCAGTGCAAGTAT